TTAAACAACTTCCGCAAGCACCGTTCATTTCATGTGTCTATAGAACCACCACTTCTCTAATCTTCCCAACTCTTGAGTAATGAAGAGATTTGGATGGGTTTCGGCATCTTCAACCTGAAGACAAACTTCACTGACAAACGTTTCTGGTAATCTTTCTTTAAAAATCAGCTTTTAATCGGTACCTCACGCTGACTCGTAATGAGTGCAGTCCCTTGCATGGTTTCCTTTTCAGACACCACGCCTACCTTTTATTTTAAATTACCTTAACTACATCGGACTTTTTTCTGTTGTCAAACAAAAAAGGATTCGCCACTTTGCTTAGCGTTATTGTAATAACATAGATATTAAGTTTTTTTTCATCTTTTAAAGTAGGTAATATGTTTGGTGTGAAAGACCCGATCCCTCGTGTGTGGTTCAAAAGTTTTTATGTGTGGGCTGTAATGCTTGCTTTGTCGGTGAAACCTCTCGGCATTTATCCACACGTGTGCGTGCGCACTCGATCAGTGATAGGTCCTCTCACAGTTTCGGACATTTACCAAATTCTCAACAATGATTAGTGTTTTAGCACCTTAGATCGTATTTATTTCCGCACTACACGAGGCTCCGTTTCCGCACGCATTTTCGAATTCTCCACCAAATCCGATTCTGGAATCAGGGAAGTTGCAATCTCCTTCTTGATCAGCGATGATTCCGATTCGAACTCCCGAGGTATTTGTCTGAGGGAAAAACCTATTGAAAATTTTTACACGGATGTGTTTTTTTCCCTTTTTTTCAGGCGCAATCCTGTAGCAGCGTCGAGAAAGTTGATACATGATTTTTTTCCTTTGTTTCTGCGCTTCTTGACTTGCATAAATCGTTTTTTTCTTTGATTTATTGTCTTGCAAAAAAATTTCTGTGTATTTGCCACCCTCTCTCGGCCCACAAATTTAGCGATTGTTCTTTACAGGAACGTGACCGCTGCCCTGAAGAGATCATGAGAGCAACTTATTATGACGTTAATCGCTAGAGGTAGATTCAGCCTTCACATTACGTTTCCTGGTTATTGTTTATATGTGGTTTCCTTATCGCTCTGACGAAGGGCTAACGCTCGAAACACCAGCTTTTAAACTCTATACGGTGGGCAATTTACGTTATCAACTTAGTTGACAATACTAAATTACCCCGTTATACTCCGGCTCACGATGCAGCATCACAGTTTCACCAACGGTTTGTCCTGTGGCTTACAATAACGGAGGCTATGGAAAATAAATTAAGAGTAAAAGTCTGTGAAAATAATTTCGAATGACCTTCCGATGACTCGTTCATCATTTTCAAATCCTAGAATTCCGACTTCTGTGAGTTGTGATATACTAAGAATGCGTGTGAAATGTCGTGGGAAATTTGAATTATGAACTTTCGAAATGGCCCAATGATAAATTTTAATGTAACCGAAATTCAAAACCGTGAGACAAAT